GCATGGAGCCGCCCCCCCCACTGCTGCCACCTGCTTGGGTAGGGCAGGGGCCAGCTCCTGGCTCCCCCCAGCCCTGCTGGTGTGGCAGGCTTAGTGTGCAGTTGTGTATGGGGAAGGCTGCCTGCACACTAGGTCCCAGGAGCCAGCTGAGAGTGAAGGGAGGTGCAGGGGGGAGGAGGGGAGAGAAGGGGTGAGGGGGGTGAGAGGGGCATGTGCAGCAGAGTTGTCCATACAGTGTGGTACAGGTGTGTTCTGCTCCCACCCCCCATCTGGCCCACAGCTGCTCCTGCAACATTACGCATGGGGCCAAGCCCCACCCGCTCCCGCCTGGGGCAGTTGACATCATGCTCAATTTTGTCTTCTAGCATTTGATCTGCACTGCTTCCTGATTGCACACCTTTTCTCTTCCTATTGGAGCATGATCTGCCAAACTGGTGTACCAAGGTGGGGAGACGTCACTCAGTGCTTGGTGCCTGCCTGTTACTCTTGTGGGCTCTGTTCCCTCTCATCCACACTCCCTTCCTGCAGCACCAAGCCATCACCTCAAGGATGCCAGGGTTGACGGGAATGTGAAGCTACAGGGGTCCATCCCTGCTGGCATGGTGGAGGTCACATAAGTACAAAACCCTGGGGAGACTGGTGGGGCAGGCAGTGCCACTCTGAAGGATTTGGTAGCAGTCAGAGGAGCAGAAGTGCCTCAGGCATAGGAAGCTTTTTGGAAGGCAGGAAAGAAAGATCTCAAAGCCTGCCAACCTTGACAGAGTCATGTGGCAGATGGTGCAGAGTCATGGTGTGCCACAACCCTTGTCAGGATGGTGGCCACTGACCGGAGGAGCTCCTAGGAGGCAGGCAGGGCACCTGGCAGCTGGATGCTGTGGTCCTGTAGAGCTCTCGGGAAGGGGTTCCAGCAGGAAAGCTCCCAGGAGACAGGCAGGGCAGGTGTTTTGGTGTTTTAAGGCTCGTGGGAAGTGGGTATGGTAGGTGGTGGTTGCTGCAGGTCTCCTGGGAAACAGACAGGGGCAGGACCAGAGGCTTCTGTGTCTTCAGGTGGTAGAAGTGAGGACGCCTGCAAGGCTGAGATTGCTGGCAAATGCATGCTCAGCTCCTGGAAGAAATCCTGGACTGCCTCCTGGCCCTCTTTTTCCTGGTCTCCTCCAGGCCTTCCCTAGGTTCTAGTTCCCTGAAGAGAAACCAGAAATGATTCATATTGACAGTGGTGGACAAACCCAGGTGCCTAGAATCTTGGACTAGAGAGACCAGGATAGTGCCCTCACCTTATTTTCCTTTAAGTGGCCTGGTATCTGAGTACAAACCCCAAACCTTAAGTGGCTGGGTATCCAAGTCTCAAGCCACAAACCCTGCTGATATGCCTAACTATCTAAAAACCAGTAAACAATCTGAGCATTTGAGATTAATGCAAACTGTCTTTATACAGTGTTTGCTTCCTTCTGCTGTGCCTTTTGTGCTGAACCTGCAGCAGGGTGCACCCCCAATCCAGTCCGAAGTTGGTAGGGCAGCAGCAAGAGTGGAGTTTCATGCTGATGTGGACTGTAAAAGTGGCTCCCTGGATTCCACAGTAACAGTGTCTCACGCATCTACAGATCTGATTTGCCAGGGGTTGTTACGACCCCCCTCCCTCACCCCACTTTTTTGCCCTCCCAGAAAGGGAATGAGAAGAACAGGAAGACGAAGAAGAGTTCTTGAGGACCAGGCTTAACAAAACCTTTATTTGAGCAATACAGCAACAGCCTGATATCAGTAAACCATCAGGCTGCAGCAAAGTAAGTGAGGGGGCTTCACCTTCTGCTGGGAATCTGAGATCTGTTGCAGTTTGAGATCTCTTTTTCTCAGGGCCTAACCTCCCACAAAGTCCCCACACTTATCAGTGATATGAGCTTAGGGCTCAACATGATGGCTCAAGTGATGTGGGCACTGAGGTGCATGGTTGACAACCCAGAGGCTACAAAGTCAAGGCCATAGCAGAAGCACTCAATGGCACAGCCCGTCAGGTTCCAATGAATCTGTGAATTCTGCTAAATCCCTTGTCAAAAGGACATGAGGGAGGAAGTGATCAGCATCAGTTACATAATGCTGGACCTAAGGTCTATAACCTATTCAATAAAATAAAATAAAATGAACAGCCAATCAGAAAATAAGCACAAGGACCTGCTGCTATGGCCAGGGTGAAATGGGTACCTGTGGCCTATTTAAATAACAGAATGCAGAATACAACCTAGGATGTAACTTAAGACAAACATGTAACTGGTTCAGTGTGTTGCCCAGCCTGGAGGCCTACACACACAAGGTACTCCAGCAACATCTAGGGTGCGGCCTGTCAACGGATCCTCTGGACCCCTTACAGAGTGCAAGTACAGGAAAGGTGTTTGTCAGAGCTCAACAAATGCCACCCTGTGGCACAGGGTCCTTGCTATTTTAGCAGGAATAAGAGACCAGCACCATTTACCTTATGGCCAGGAATGAACCTTTCATAGGTCAATTTATACTCTTGAACTGTCCAGATGGCACTTCCTCTATCCCCACACAGTGCTCAGACCCTAGGCTGCACCATCAAGCTGAGTATAAATCTTAGAAGCTCCAGCTTTAACCACTCTTGAGGCCTACCAGAGCCCAAGCCCAGACATGTTTTGGAAGCACTGTAAGACCTTCCTATTTGGGCAGGCATTTAGCAAAAAAGATAGGCTGGGATCTTGCTCATAGGGCTGATGAGGAACAGGTTCTGTTTTCTGTTGATAGTCTAGTTGCTTTTTAAGTTGTTTTGTTTGTTCTCCTGTTTTATAAACTGTTATGTTATTTTATTGTAAACCACCCTGGCATATCAATCAAATAAAAAATAAATAAGTGCAATAACTATCATTTGCTTTCTCCTGAAGGAGAAGTCAGAAACCCAGTTTAAGGTAAAAACCAGCAAGCAGTCTCTTCTAGGCCCAACCTGACACACACGGAGTTTCCCAGGGTTCAAACTGTCTCTGTCATCCATTCTTTTCCATTTGTTTTCCTCATCCTCAGTCCCATCTTTCCTTTACCCACTTCTTCTTTCCATCCTCACTTGTCAACTCAACCTCAGAGAGGCACTTACTCATTCCACACAGCAAGCAAAGGACCATACTTGATAAAGGGGCCATCAAATGATCCTTCTCGTTTCCTTTTTTGTGGCAAGAAAAATGCAATCCAGATTATAAAGCTCTTCTTTCAAGAGAATACGGACTAAGGAAGGACCAGCCAGTCTGGGATGATATAAGAGTAGGTCTGTTTTGATATCACAGCTGTCAGCCATTGCTCTCCCATTTTTTAATTGCATACTACAGCCTGTTAGTGAAAACAACCTTGTCTGTGATGCTTCCATCAATACACATTGTGCCAGGACTTCAAAGCAGGAAACCCTGAAGGTTTCAATGGAGTTACCTCAATAGAGTTAATTACACTATGTTCTTGGGATGTTCCCTCCCTATCTCTGAGCATCATTCCCAAACTTGTCCTACACTTACCACGTTCTGTAATGAGGGCACCGCACTTCAATAAGGATGTGGAAAAACTTGGGAGGGTCCAGAAATGAGCCACCCATATCACCAGGGACTTGCAAGGCAAGCCATACAAGGAAAGGCTGATGAACCTGGGCCTCTTTAGCCTAAAGAAGAGCAGGTTGAGAGGGAACTTGGTAGCGGCTTACTGCTATATCCAAGGAGTGCATCAGGAGCTTGCTGAACAACCGTTCACTAGGGCACCCCTGGGGAAGATCAAGACCAATGGATACAAACACCTGGAAGGCCACTTCAGGTTTAAGACCAGGAAAAACTCCTTCACAGTCAGGGTGTCCAGACTGTGGAATAAACTCCCTCCAGAGGAGGTTCAGTCACCTACCCTGGGGGTTTCCAAGAGGAGACTGGACAGTCACCTCACTGGGGTCACCTAACCCCAGTTCTTTCCTGCTTGGTGCAGGAGGGCTGGACCCGATGATCTGCAAGGTCCCTTCCAGCCCCTAACAATCTATGAAGCTATGAAGATCCCTGACTCCAACCCCAGCTGGAGGTAACTGAGCAACCAGGCAAAGTCATTCCTCAGGGCCCCTCTGTGTGTGCAGGTAAAGGTGCAATAGGATCTAATGTGCAATCCACACAATTGTGCCTCTTGCCATGCTACACATGCACATCACACCTTACTGCCAGTCTAGGAAGAGCTGGGGGGGAGAATCATGATCCTAAGCAACCCCTGCATGGGGTCCCATGGTTGAGTCCCACAGCTGATAGCGCTTGGTGAGGTTCACTGCAAGTACAGCATTCCCCCACTGCCCCCACTGTGAGCCCCATAGATCATGTGGGCTGTGGGGCTTGCAATGGGGGCAACACTGGGAATGCTGCCCCCACTGTGAACATTGACAGCTGCAGGGCTCATGCTGTGGGCAGTGCAGGGGGACACTGTCACCACTGTGAGCTCCACACCTCATGAGGCTTGCAGGAGGGGCAGTGTTCTCCTCACTGCCCAGTTCCTCCTGCTGCCTCCACTATAAGCCCCACAGCAGAAGAAACTGTTCCCATTGCAAGCCTCACAGCCAAGGAGCCTCATAGCAGGGGGTGAGAGGGAGCAATGTTCTCCCTGCTACAAGCCCTGCAGCTGACATTGCTGCCACCACTGCCACAAGGCTCACAGCAGTGGTGGCAGCATTGTCAGCTGCAGGGCTGGCAGTGGGTGATGCATCCCTGTCCCCAGTGAGTGTACACTGGCTTAGATCTATTGAGCAGGTAGTAAAACCAGAAAATGGGAACACCATGCATATGTGGAAGCCAGCTCCAATCACTGGTGAAGCTTAGAGAATGAGGCAGGTCCTCCTGGACTAGGTGACATTTCAGCATATTGTTGCATTTAATTTCATTGCCCAAAGACAAGGATGGGATTCTGCACATAGGGAATTAAAAACAAATGCACAAATATAGAATGGGGTGTGTGGGGTAACTGTTACGGAAGCTGTAGTTCCAAGAAGGATGTGGTGGTTATGCAAAATCAGTGTGTGACATCAATGTGATGCTGTCAGGAGGGAGGGGAACAGCAAACACAATTTCCCATTGCATTAATGAAAGAGCTATATGTGATACAAGTGAGGTGTGTGAAGAAATCCCCCTCTCTCTGCCTCTCACTTGGGTCATTCCAGGTAGAACCCTCTCTCTCACTTGCTTTCTTTTTGGTTCAGGATGGTCAACCAGGTGACTTGGCCAGATAAATTCCTGAGGGGAGGGGGGAACTCGTTCTTTGTCCAGCAGGTATTTTGAAATGCAACAAGCAAAGTGCCTCCAAGTGGCTGATTGGATGATTCTCTGTAAGTAAAGACTTGGAAATTAGCCAGGAGTTAGGATTTATGTCTAGGCCAGATGCGTTTTTATTAAGTCCATGACTGAATAAGACTCTGATTGATTATGTTTGCTCAAAGTGTATTCTGACTTCCTTGTTCTACCCCCATCCCACCCCCATCAATAAAGGTATCAGGTTACAGCCTGTCTTGCTGTTTCACTGTGGAGGGGGCAGAAACTTTTTTTTGTTCTCAGCTTTGCCAGCTGAGCTTGTCTGTTTATGTTCCCTCAGTCCTACCTGAGGTTATCTTGGGATGCTTCAGGCTGTAGGAGGCACCCAAAAATACTACTGTGGGCAAAGCATCCCCAAGTTTCACAGTTTGTGTGTGCCCTGGGCTACACAGAGCTCTAACGGAGACCAGTGCCCGGGTGGTGGCAGCATTACCCCAAGCTTGCGGGTGTTCCCCAGGAAGCAGGCTAGCCAGCTGTAGGCACCCTGTGGAAGACTCGAAGCAAGGTTTTTGGACCTGGCACAGTGAGGCAGTTGACTCTATGTAGTAGCACCCCCTACTGTGCTTCCACAAGGTGATGAGACAATGTTTCTTGTTCCAGGATTTTTGCTGGACACCAGCAGAACAGAAATGTACAACTGGGATAAGCGGTTGTTAGAAATGGCAAACTGTTTTCACCAATTGAGCAACTATGGAAAACAACCCCCCCCCAAACAAAATCCGCATGCGTGTAAGAAAGCACATAGCATATCATGAATGATGCGTGCCCTGGGAGGCTGGGGGACACAGCAAGCACCTGCAAGCAGTGGTGGCAGCGCCGGAGGCACGGTGGCGGTGAGTGGGGAGCTCCCTCAGGCAGCCATGGAGGTGTTGGGGGGGTGGCTAGTGCTGACCAGTGATCAGCAACCGACTGCAAATGCCACCAGCAGTGTCGGTGGTGGCAGCAAAGGTGGGGGTGGCGAGCAGTGACCACCTGCAGGCACTGTTGACAGTGTCGGTAGCTCTTCTTTTGGGAGGTGCACCACCAATTTCAGGGGGTGCATGTGCATCCGCATGCTCTGCCTACGCATCACCAGTGTAGCGTATTGTAAAAGACACATGGCAGGTGTTTATGCGCCTGAGAGCCACATGCCCCAAGGATTGTATGCAAGGCATGGGCCACCAAGGTGCATGCCACACGGACACTTCTTCCAACCCTCTTCCCCAAGCCCTGCTGCACTATGCCCCACCCCGCTTCCCCTCACAGCCACTGCACTTCATGCCTGTGCAGGCACCTACCTACCACTACATCGTGGAGGCACGGTGCTCCCCTGACCCACATGCAGCCCTGGATTCACCCTCAACTCCCTGTGCAGTGCCCTGCCCCCTGGGGTGATGGAAGGAAGCAACACTGAAGGAAGGACGGCTGGAGACTCTGGAGTGATGGGGGGAGCAGCAGTCACATAGGAGCCCAGGGGCCACAACATAACTCCTCCTGGGCCACCACTTGGCCAGCTAACAGAACAGACACTGCCAGCTGGTTCGAGATGGTCCATGAGTCCACAGATAACATTTTACACAAGCAGGACACTGGCTGCTGTGGTTCCCCTGCTTTACCTGTGGCAGGTTAAGGCGTTAGGTCTATGTTGTGTCAGGGCTGAGGATAGTCTTATGTAGAGTTTAGATTATGGTTGTATGGGATGGTTTGGATAGGGATGACCCTGCCTCAGGCAGAGGGTTGGACTAAATGGCCTATAGAGGCCCCTTCCAGCCTGAATTCTCTATTACTATGACTATCTGCGTGTGACATGCAGCAGATCTGAGAGAGAGCAGGGAACATGAGGGCAGGGATTAGGAAGCAAGGAGCAGGGAGCAGAAAACAGAATGGGAATTGGGATGGCACTCAGCGAGTGTGCAGGGCTTACTTTATGACATGCCTGGCAAAAAAGTTGGCCCCACTGAGCTACCATATCTCCAAGGAAAGGCAGATATAACAATTATATTGGATATTAAATAATTGGACACTGTGAGCGCATCTACACGAGATGTTTACTGCGCATTAACCTAATACCACTGCGTAGTAGCATGTCATGGTAAAAACCATGGTAATAGCTTACTGCGTGCTGTTATTAGGCTAATGCGCAGCAAACATCACTAAATAACCATGAGCTGTCACTACTGCACATTTAGTTAGTACTTTATAAAGGAAGTACTACTCTAAATGCGCAATATCTAAGGTGCATTAATGAATATGTAGATGTGCCCTGTAACTACTAACAATACAACTGTAGCAGAGTCATTGCAGTCTTCACACCGTTTCATTCACAGGATAAATTTGCTGCAATTTAGCTCACTTGTATCATTGCAGGAGCCTGCAGATATAATAGTTGCATCATAACAGCTCTTTTGGAGGTGGCAGAAAATTATGTCTGTCCATAGACTTAGACCAAACATGGGGCAAATCCAACTCCTCTGGTCCCCAAGCAGGAGAGTTGGCCCTATAATATGCAACCAGTTCTTTACCAGAGGAGCTGAAATATGCTGCTGGAGTTCCTGTGAGTGGACAGAATTCTCCTTAAAGATGACAGGAGTTGTCTGTCTTCTGTACTCCCCTTGCTACTAAGTCATCTTGTAGGTGAGCACCCAGCCCTGAGGCATGCAGGTGAAAAAGATCCGATTCAGGTCTATTCTATGACCAAGTCAGGTTGTAGCTCTTTCACAGACTCCATCTCTTGCTATTTGTCTTTACTTATCAAAAATGTTCAGCCTGTTGGGAAAATAAGAGAAGTAAAGGGAAAAGGCACCTTTCTCTATAGTATCACCCATGAAAGCCCTGTCCCCATGAAGTACAACACATAACACACCATAGTGATGTTGCCCTGGTGTCAGACCCCTCAGTATTTTTGTCACCTTCACTCCCTGCCTGGCAAATCTCACTTCCAGCAGGGGCTTTTCATGTGAGAAAAATGAGATTAATTGGTCTAACCCAGAACCTTTTCTGTTCTCTCCACATTCAGTAAGCACTGAAGGGGAGAGAAATTCTTTCCTCTGTCTGAAGAGTTGAATTGTGCAGCCCTTACCCATGGGGTCAGCACTTATACAGACAGTCCCACTCTATGGGGATACTCAGTGGTCCAAAAGAGCCAAGGGTAGCTCTAAGAGACCTCTGTGACCTCTTAGCTCAGTATTTATGCTGGTCTGAAACAGCATTTCACCTGACACTTTGGGAGTTTGGTCAAACAAAGAGCTTTGCAATCATTCACAGCCACCTGGGATTGTTGCCAAACAGCAAACTGGATCTACCAAGATAACTGGGCCTGCTAGTGTTTTCAACAATGAAGCCTGAAGAGATGGGCAGGCTGAGGAGGACAGAGAAACTGGGCTGCCCAAAAAGAGTGTCCACTTCATAGGCGGAGGGAGAAAAAAAAATTGGGGGGGGGGGCTGAGTGCATGCCCACCCCACATCGTCCCCAGGAAGAGCCCAGCATAGCCGGCAGCTCCTACAGAGGTGTAGCACCAAGCATCCAAGGAGGTGGCACGTGGCCCCCTGATCTTTGCACAGGGCACGGGTGGGCTGCAGCTGCAAGGTGCGCTGTCTGCTCCTTGCCTCGCTGCCACCTCTGAAAGCAGCGTAGTGTGGCACCATGTGCCTAGCTGCACGGCCTGCCCAGCAGTGGGACTCGGGTGGCACCACGCTGCTTTTAAATGCAGCAGTAAGGCATGGAGCAGGCAGAGTGCAGCATACAGCTGCAGCCTGTCTGCACCCCGTGTAAAGATCAGGGGGCTGTGTGCCCGCCCCCCCTTGGCTGCCCAGCGCTGCACCTCTGGAGGTGCCACCGAACTCTGATTGTCCCACGCCCAGTCCTACTAGGGCCCCATTCACCGTGAATGAGGCCCTGGTCGGGCCAGGTCATGGGGCAATCAGAGCCTGGCAGGTCATCCAGGGGCGCAGTGTGGGGAAGCCAAGTGGGGGGAAAATGTGGCCCCCCTCCCCTGGCTCCCTCACAGTGCACGCAGTGGTGGGAGCCACCTGCCTGCACCTCTGGACCAGCCACCAAGCTCCGATTGCCCCACAACCCAGCCTAGACCCATGAATGGGTCATGGGGCAAACCCTAGGTCATGGGGCAATCCCCACAGTGCAGCAGGGAGCAGAGCAGGGGCAAATCATTTGCCCCCGCCCCTACCCCACTGACTCCTGCACTGTGGGGGTCTCGATCTGTGCCCCCCCCAAGGCCAGGTAAAGAAAACAGAAAGAAACTAACCTGCCTGCTCAGCCGGCTGTGATCGTGGCTGCGCAGGGTATGTGTGTGAGCGTGCCTGTCCCCCCCTGCTGCAGCAGCCTGTGGCTGGGTTGCCCTAAGGCCCTACCTGCTTCCTGCATTTGTGGGGGGTGAGCCCGGTTAGCGCCCCGCTTCTGCCGCCTATGGGCCACCTTACAGTTATTGCTGCTCAATTTCTTCTTTTTTGCTTTTTCTTTTCTCTTTCATTTCTATTTCTTTTTCTTTTCCCCTTAACATTTTTTTCCTTTTCCTATTCCCATATCAAAATGTTAGGCATTGCCAGGGATTAGTCTTTGTGATAGTGGCAGAAGATTTGAGCAAAGGCAAGTTATTCCAGTCAAACTGTGAAAAACTCCTGCAATTATGTTCTCATTCACAATGAGAGGAAATAACAACCCACATACTAGTATGAAAGTGGATGACATTTACAGTGTATGAAGGGTCACTGGGGGATCCCACTTTTATTTTGTAAAATAGGACAAGTAGATACAACAGTAGGATTCTCTCCCACTCCTTCTGAAGACAGTAGGTAAATTTCAGGTAGTACAGATTAATATGTAGTACTGCTGTGATACCAGCTGAAAGAACAAAAATTACAACAGTCCACAGTTAACAGGAACAGACTAAAGGGAGCCAGCTGTTACTTACTGTATTTTCTGCAGTTTGCAGCTGGGATGTTTCAGCCCCTGACACAGCAACTGCACTCCTGAATCATGAAAATCATTCCTCCCCAAACCCAGTTCAGTCAGGGTCTGGCTGGTTCTGAGCACAGAGGAGAGCTCCCTGCAGCAACCAGCTGTGAGACCACAATGCTCCAACCTAGTAGAGACAAGACACAGAAAGATAGAAAAATGACTGTTTGCTTCCTACCTGTCTGCTGTGATCCTCACTGATGAGGGAATCTGTTTAGAAAGAGCTTGTTTATTCAGGAAGGAGGCTATGGACTATAATCCCCGTGTTGATTCCTTTCCAAGTGCTCCATCATATCAATCCCTGCATGTTTTACATGGTAATGGTCAGGGGGGCTGAATAGAGGGAAGCAGAGGGTTGGGAGGGTGGAACGGGCTAGACAATCACAGCAATACATGCTAAGAAAACCTATAAAGTCTTTTCCATTGTTGGCAATCTTATTCTTCTTTGAATTAGCAAATAAAAACTAATGATTCGGCACAACTTCACTCCCCCTGGCATTCCCCAGTGCCTAGAACCATGACCAGGCATGCGGCAATCTAAACCCTTCCAAACAGTAAGACAAACTGTGGGATTTTTCTTACAGTTGAATGCATAGCTACATACAATGTTGATGACAGGATGCCATCTCCAGAGCCTGGAAGTTTAGCACAACTGGGGGCTCTGCCCTTGGCAGAGACTTCCTGGCTGTGTGAGAGAGGATTTCCTCTCTTCCATGTTTCAAAGGACCTTATTACACAGTAATTTTGGGCTGTAATTTAAGAGCTCCTGGAGCTCTTAGCCCTTGCATTGTCTGCACATCAACTAATTGTCTGCCTGAAACTAATTTTAAGCATTCATTAGGTGGCTCAAAGCTATGCCACTCCAAGGCAGGCTTATCTCTAATCTGTTACCCAGCTCATGTTACACTAAGGTGTAGCCACTCTAAGCTACCTTAGTACAAGCACCCAACCTGCCCCTGTTTACTAGCCCAGATTGGGCCTATACCCCCCAGCCCTCCCCAGCACCCCAGATCTCTGCTCACTGCCCTCCTGCCCTTTCTCTCTCCCCTGCTGACTTGTGGCTGCTTGCCCTGTCTGTCTTGGGAGAGCAAACAGGGAAGAGTTAACCTACCTGCCTGGCCCCCACTGCTACTGCTCCCTGGGCTAGGTTTAGACCAGAGAAGAGCAGCAGTCTGGCAGTGGGGGTGAGCCCCTGCGAGCAGGGGGGAAGCCCAGAATGGGAGTGGGGAGGATTCTTCCCTTTCAGTCCTCCAGGGCCCCATTGGCCTGAATTTGCAACTGCTCCAAACTCAAGGTAGCACTAACACCAATCAACATTTGAGCAGCTCAGTGTAATGTGTAATAAGGCCCAGACACATTAACAAAGGCTGGAGATGAGATTTAAAATCCTTGGACAATAACGGGATTCCCAGTGAATCCCAGAAAAGGGCCCCTTTTACAGCAGTATATTTGGGCACATTATCTCAGTGACTAAGCTTGCCCCTCCAGGAATGTGGCATGCTGTTATGCAGCATCAAAAGCCCCCTTGAAAATGAGTGACCAGTCCAGGGTCACTGGACTAAATCCCCTGAATGACAGACCAGCATCCTATCCACTAGACCACACTGTGCCGCCCCCTGCTCCCCGCCCCCAACCGCACCTTGTCTAGTCTGAACTTGGCCCCATCAAGTACTCATTAATGAAGAGTCAGTGCTCTTGGTTGGGACCTCTTTTACTCATTTTCCAAAGGCCCCAAGCTGGGTACATGTTGTAAGAAATTGACTCTCAGATTCTCCATGTTGTAGGGGAAGTCAACATCAGGTACCAGGCACATAACCCTGTCCAGTGCTTTCCAGATAGGATAGGGTGACTGCACAGAGGAAGCCAGCTATTTCCTACCACAGCCTCTGTAACTTGCAGTTTGGGTGATTCAGTGCCGAACACAGCTGCTGCGCTGCAGCATCTCCCAGGTCATTATCATGCAGTTCCAGCTCTGTCAGGCTCTGACTGGTTCTAAGAGCAGCAGCAAGATGCCCACAACAGGTGTCAGTGAGATGGCAATCCCACAACTTGCCAAGAAGAATTATCATAGTATGAACAGAGTTCATGCCAGCTGTTCTGATATGCAGCCCTCCCCACTTCACTACCAGCCCCTCTGCCTGAGGATTCAGCATTGAGAATGGGCAAGAAGTCTTGCCTTGCACTATGTCCTAAGTCCAAGGCAATGCCAATGAAAAACAACATTAGGTGCCACTTCTTCCCTGCATCCAATTTATGCTTGATGCCCTCAAGAACAGAGAGACTTATGTAGACATTTTAAACCTTAAACCTCTGCCATTAACCAATAATGAATTATAGGTGGCAAGAGATTTAGGTGCACCTCAGGTACCTGCTACACACCTTGCTCACTGATTTCCACAGAGGACCCTGGTAAGTATGCAAAAGGACAAAGTGATACTGACCCCAGTTTCTGTAATTTGCAATTTGGATATTGCAATCCCTCACATAGCAACTGTACTCCTACATCTCCCAGGTCTTTGTTTCGGCCTAGGTCCAACTCACAAAGGCTCAGGCTGATGCTGAGGACAGCGTTAAGATCCCCACAGATGGAATGGGTAAGGTGGCAATACCGCAACCTGCAAAACAGAGATGTGCAGAAAAGAGCAATTGTGGTATGAACAGGACTCATCACAGTGGTTCTGACAGATAACCCTGCCCACCAGCCCATCTTCCTGATCAGTCAGAATTGACCAGAAGTCCAACCCATGAGCCAATCCCAAATTCCACTGCCACCCAATAACACACCAGTACTGGGTACAACTTCCTGTTTGAGCCCCAAATTTTCTCTTTCATTCTTGCCCAATTCATGTTGAGAATAACTCGGATATTTTGAGCCTGAAACCTGCTATTGACCAATGCGGAATAAAGAGTGGGGTGAGACTTTCTCCCTGACCAATCCAGGCCTTTTCCACTGACTGAACACAATTCAGAATGGCCCCTAAAATCCACTCACCCAAATCAGGCTGATTTGGCACCAATCAGCCCCCAGATTAAAACAACCCAGGCAGAGCAGGCCCATAGCTGCAGGGTGGGTGTGGCAATAGCTTCTTCTCCTGGCAGCTGGACCAGGACATCCTTCTCCTCCACGTTTGACACTAGCTCTACTGCTGCCTGCAGAACAGAGCTGTCTCCTGGCTCTGTCTCTCCCAGTAGCCTGTCAGCTTCCAGCTCAGACCATCAGGCCTGAAGAGAGTAGCCACCAGGCAGATCATAGGCAGCATCACACCCACATTTCCACTAGGATCAGGGATCAAACAGGGAGAGAAATGGGAAAAAGAGCCCCAGGGCAAGGGGGATCCCCAAGGGAGAGACGATCCCACAAGATTTATAAAATTGAAAAGGCAGAGACGTTCTCCTTAAAGACCAAGAGACCACATAGTAGGGAGGGGAAATGCAGGACCACCATCAGGAGCATAAGTGCCCAAGAAAGTGTAGTAAAAGGGAATGGAGAGAGGTCTCCAAATTCCAAAAAATGACTAGCTCTCAGTTGGAAGACATGGGTTTAAGATTCTAACGAAAGCCCCACTACGGGGCAGGAAGGGAGATGCTCAGAGGAGAACAGTAAAATGGACAGAAGAGAGAGATGAGCGAGGGAGGACTCATGAGTAGACAAACACCCATGAGAAAGCTGTAGATAGGTAGAGACCTTCTCCTTATTTCCAGCCAAAATTCATTCATGGGGAGTTGCGGGAGAGCACTGTTGGTGCCTGCCACTTTAAGGGCAGTCGGGCAGCTACCACGTGCCTGATGGTGGCAGCCATTTTGAGAAGCTAGTATATAAAGGCTGCAGTTTGCTACTGCCAGACTAGGCAGAAACATTGCCTGGCTGAGCTACAGGTGGAACAACCAGGAGGTAAGGGAAGGGGCTGTAGGGGATGGCTAGGAGGCTCTTAGTCCTGGGCATGACCTAAAACTGCACTCTGCTGGGAGTGGGTGGCCTGGTGGGGCTCTCAGTGGTGTGGGAGCCCCCAAGAAATACCAGGCCAATTACTGCCCCAGGAAAAGGTGGGTTGGGGGGCCTTAATAACCCCAGCTCCCACATCCCTGGTGGGTGAGACTGAGCAAGGGGGGGCCCAGGCTCACGGTGGAGCGCTGAGACAAGGCCCAGGTTGGTGGAGGGAGCTGTGGCAGCACCCAGTCTCTGTGGTGGAGGTCTGAGGCTGCATAAAGGAGCCAGTATGAAGCTTGGGAGGGGGGGGCTGAGCCTTGGGGAACTGTTAAGGAAGCTCCTGGGGCCAGGGATAAGGGGATTGCCTAGGGAGGGCTTGGGGATAGGGCTTGGAGTCCCGATCCCAGAGGAGGCCTTGGAGCCCAGTGTGTGGGCCTGGAGTCTGGTGTATGTTACTGTGTGTGCATGTACAGAGTAAACCCAGTGTGAGGGTGCTGGGACCAGGAGCTCTGGTGGGAAGTGAGTCCCGGTGAGACTCTGGAGCTCGCCTCCCAGTGCTAACTAGCTGGAGGGAACACCTGCGAGGCTTGGGCTGCGGTGTAGGGGAGAAATGGAGCTGCAGATAGCGCCCCCTGGCATCTGGGTGGGAAAATGGGCCACCTCCTGCTAGTGTAATATCTTAATCATTTTCCAACAAGGTGAGGCAGGTGGTTAGCCCAGAAACAGGTGGGCGGGGCAATGTCTGACTGGCCCTGGGAAGGCCCACTTGTTACAGGAGTTATGTACCCATTTTTTCTTAGCTGATAGCTTAAGCAGTCCTTCTTCCTGCCCAATATTTGTTTGCCTGATGTATTTAAAAAGAGCAGCAATATTCCCTCCCTCATTTTTTGCTTCCTTAGGTCAAATAAAACAACCTCCTCCATTTGTAACAAAGGTATTTCCTTTCTCCAACCATCCTAGTAGTCCCCCTCTCATCTGTCCAAGTCTGAAATTCACTTTCTTAAATACAGATTACAGGAATTATTCATCATATTCTAGATGGGGTCTCATTAAAGCAGTGTAAAATGGCATTAATATGTTCTTGTTTCTTAAAACATTTGCCTGATACAGCATTAGGACCCCAGTTGCTTTTTCACTGCTATATCAGACTAGAGGCTCTTGGTTATCCTGTGATCTACTAAAATATATGCAGTGTTATCACCTCCTCCATTTCCCACTGGTGCACTCCCAGCTTCTTAATCTTCCCAATTCATGACCTTGCACTTCGTGTTGTTAAATTTCATTGCATTTCTGTTACTCCAGGCCCCAGGGTCATCCAGTTACTCCTGTATGATTCCCAGCACTCCTCTGTTTTGAACATGATCATGAACAGTGGGTTTGAAGTAACTGACTATATGCCTGCTACTATCCCACACTATATAGAAGCTAAACTGTGGTAACTTCCCATCAACAAAATAGGGCTGAGCTACTATGGTTTAGCTTTTGCTGACCATGGAGTAAGAATAGGCACTCGGGCAGCAGCAGGGAGAGGCAGTACAGAGGGACACCTTTTGAGCAAAAGAAAAATGTTAATACAAAAGGGAAGAGGCAGGACATCTCTACACCAAAGCCTGGCAGCACCATCATGAGGTACTACTCTGCTCATTCACTCCTACATAGTGTGTGCCAAACCCCAGGAATTAGTGCGACTCTGAGCACATGCCTCGAAGAAAAGATGGGTTGTGATTAGACCATTGCATCAGGACCCAAGATACCTGAGGGCTAATTCCTGCCTCTGACACAGAGTCCCTGTCTGACCTTTGCCATGTCACTCACTTTTTGTGGCCACTCTCCACTTCTGGCACAAGGGGATTACATGTTTTCTTTTGCTCCCCACAATGCCTGTCCTGTGGGTTTAGGCCATATCATAGAAGGAACTGTGCCTCACCACATATATGCAACACAATGGGTACTTGACCACGGTTGGGACAATTAGTTGCAATATATAATGCTCCAATGCCTGAAATTAAGACTGATACATTATTTCTACCACTACTTGGCCCACTATCTATGTATAAAACATCCACTTGATCATGATTCATGTGTCAGCAAGAGGACTGCAGTAGGAGTAAGTTTTGGAGCAGACACTGGACTACAAACCAGCATGGCAGGGGGCCCAGGGAGCAGACCACCCTGTCAAATGCTTTATGTGCAGGCCCTTAGTAAACGCAAGGAAGAAGCCAAATGTTACTTACCCTAGTCTCTGTAACTTGCAGTTTGAATGATTCAGTCCCCTACGCAGCTCTCGTACTCCAGCATCACCCAGGTAATTACCACCCAGTTCCAGCTCTGTCAGGTTGTGTTTGACTCTGAGAACAGTGGCAAGATCCCCACAGCAAGTAGCTGTGAGTTGGCAACGCCACAACCTGCAGGGGACAGAAAAGAAGAGAAGAGCAATTATTGCAAACCGGACCTTTCCACAGAGGTGAAGGCTTAAAAGGGGATAGTAGCAGAGTGGACACAAGTTTCGGGAGAAAAGGGATCTCTGAGATTTAGAGTGAGAAGAGCCACCCACAAATTAGCTAAGCAAGCACTTGATCCCATCATCCAAACCATTAATGAAGAAATTAACTTTACTGGACCCAGGATAGAGCCCTGAGGGGCCCCACTTCACATCACCTCCAAAATAGACATCATACCATTGAGGACTACTCACTGAAGACCATGATCAACCAGTTGTTTATCTGCCTTGCAGTACTTCCATCTATTCCTGTATTTCCTTAGCTTATTAATAAGAATGTCACAGGAGATGGTATCAAAAGCCTTGCTAAAGTCAAGGTATATCACATTCACTGCTCTCCCCTCAGGTACAGAGCCCATCACCTTATCATAGCAGGAAATTAGAGTGGTCAGGCATGACTTGCTCTCAGTGAATCTACGCTGGCTCTTCCTTATCATCTTGTGCTCATCTAGGTACTTCACAATGGACTCCTTGAGAACTTGGCCCCAGGATTTTTCTGAGTATTGAAGTCAGTGTGACTCTGGTGGTCCCCTGGATCGTCTCTCTTGCCTTTCTTAAAGATGGGCACTATATTTGCCCTTTTCCAATCATTCAGGACCTTGCCTGACCTCCATAAATTCTCAGAGAGGATGGACAGCATTTCTGAAGTTACTTCAGCCTTCAGAACCTCCAGTGCATCTCATCTAGCCCTGATGACCTGAAAGCATCTACCTTCTTTAAGTAATCTCTAACCTGCTCCATCATTCCTCTAGGCTGTCTCCTTTCCTGTCTCTGCTGCCAATTGCACTTGACATTTTGTAGCTGCCCCTTTTTGTGAAAACTGAGATAAGGTATCATCTATAATTAAATTGTCTTCTGCTTTCCATAATGGATCTAAGGTTCCTCTCATCTTTTTACTTTTGACATCCCTTAGAATCCCTTTCTGTGACTTTTATGTCTCTTGCCTGATGCATGGCATATTGTGCCTTGACACTCCTAAGTTCTTCCCTGCATGTTTGTGGGATACTCTCATACTCTTCCCTAATACTATAATCAAGCTTCTGCTTTTTCTAGGATTCCTTTTTGAGTTTCAGCTCCTTGAAGAGATTGTTATCTAGCCAGGTTGGTCTCCTGTTGCACCTCCCATTCTTCTGCTTCATCAGAATAGCTTGCTCCTGTACCCTTAACATGGCCTCCTCTGGACTCCTTTTCTCCTCATACTTGCTTCCCAAGGGATCCTGCTAACCGAGTCCCTAAGTTTCTTAAAGTCTGCTTTTCTGAGGTCTAGTGTCCTTATTCTGCTTCTCTCCTTCCTTCTTCCCCTTATGATCTTGAACTCTACCATTTTGTGGCCACTGTCACCCAAGTTACTTTCCACCTGCACATTCTCAACCAATTCCTCCCTATTTATGAGCAGTAGGTGAGGAACAGCTCCCCACATATTGGCCTCTCTGCCATCTAAATAAAAAAGTTATCCACAACACATTGCAGGAATTTCCTGGACTGCTTGTGCACTGCTGCATTTCCCTCCAAGTAGGTGTCAAGATAAATACAGTCTCCCATGAGAACCAAGTCCCATGATTTGTACACTTTTGTCAC